CTGCTGAAAAATATCACCAAAATTATGCTCAAATAAATAGAATGCAGAAGTGTGAAGTGTAGAGCCTGCATTCAAGCAAATGAGAACTCAAAAGCTCAGTCTTTTCTGCCTCATCTCATTGTTTTTCACACTTATTTACTTTTCTCTTTTACAAATGTACAAGTGAAAAGACTGGTGTGGGTTATTCGATAATACAGCTTGGTGATGATACTTCAGTGCTCCTAAAATTTATGTGCTGATGGATAAGAGTGAAAGAGTGTGAAATTATTTCTTGGAGCTTCTCCAGCCTAGCCTTCAGCACCAGCTTGTTTCCTTCCAGCTTTTTTCTGTCCAAGGTGGCACATTTCCTGGTCATGTGCTGCTTCTTTTTATGTCAACTGGGGTTAAGGAACTCATGTTGAAAGGACAATATAGTGCTCTCTACCTCCTGGAAATTCCTTTCTGCCATGAGCCATCCTTAGAGGCCAGTTGTGCCCAATTGTACAGCTGTTTCATACAAAAGTGTTAGCTTTACGCTGTTTGTGTCAAGGCCAAGAATCAGATACTACAATTTAATGACAGCAAATGTTATCATAGACTCTCCAATATTTTTTTTTTCTGTAATCAAGATTGCAGGTAATGTGATAAAAATGGATTGCTTTGTAAATGACAAGAAGCTTTACCTAATGGAAGCTAATGCCACATACAGTGCTATGCTTTTAGAGATGTCTTCCAATAAACAGTGCAGTGATCAACATAATCTCAAGCAGTAAACGATTTTGTCTTATAGTCCAATAAATCCCCCTTTTTTATAGCTTGCCTTTGTTTTGCAGTCATAGTGAAAAAAAAAGTATCTTCTCGATCTTCTGTTGTCAAATCTGAATGCACAGCATATCTGTCAGAGTTAAGAAAAGGGCTCTCAGCTACAGCAGTCCCCTCCCAAGTCAGATGTAAATGGAAGGACGTAATTCTGAGTTAGTTCCAGTTACAACCTGCTAATTTCACGTGGCTCTATTTAACACTTGAGTGCTTCAAACATATCCAATTATTATAGGGTTTTACAGATACATTTTATGAAAGAGGTTCATCTTTTTGTGCGTAGTGTCATTTTCCTTTTTGAGTGGAGGTGTTGCATCACTGCCAAGAAGTTGATATTTGCTAAAGAATGAATTTCAGATGTTGTCTCTGAAGTTCTGCTTGCCGTGTTAAATGTGTATGAGCTGGATATACATGGGCAGTGAGATGATTAAAATCACACAGAGTGACTTCTGTGGTTGAGTATAGGCTACGCCCTGAGGTAAAGTAACTGCTAAAGGCAGAGATGGGTGTGGGTTGTGTAGATACAGCAAACTGTTGTTTTCTTTGTGTTTAACAATTGTTGAGTTTAGATTGCTGTGCTTTTCCTATGAAGTATGAAATGATTGGGCATGAGGAATTATTATTAGTAGTTCAGGATAATTCTCATGTTAGAATTTGAGCATTAATAAAACATAAAGAGTCACTGTTAAGACTACAGGAGACAAAGTACATGCACTTAACAAATGCATTTATAGGAATAAATTCACAATTGAATTTCTGTTAGTATTTGTTTGAACTATCATGGAACAAAGATCTGGTTTTATTTTACATTGAATGGATTTGTTATCTACTAAATGTAGAAAAAAAAAAGAGAAGATCAAGTTATTTTCTTATGTGGTATGTCAGACAAAATAAAGCTGAGCTTAATTCATTATGATTTATAAGCAGATGCTCCTGCATATGTGCATGTGTTTGTGTTTCTGTACTCATACGTTTTAAGAATTGATTGTCCTCTTGGTAACAATAGCAAATAATTATTTGAGAAGAAAGGCCCCATTAGTCAGGCAGCTAAATTGGTTAGTCACCCCTGCAAATTGCTCTTCAATTCCCACTTCCACTTCTGAGTTCCCACCAAGCCTTCTCCTCCTCCCCAGTGTCGTGTAGGAACAGGCATGTCAGCATTGAGGAAGATATAGTCATGCAGTTCTTTCTAATTGCCAACACTGAATAAATTCACATTCATTTATATCTGTGAAAAACTGACAGATTGTGTTTGTACACTTGAGCTTGGACAGTTTCTTACATCTCAGAGTTTGCTTTGTTGTCAAGCTGGAAAAAATATGAGTCCTTCCCTTTTTTTTTTTTAGATTGGGAAGTAGGCTATTTTGCTTTGGAAAAAAAAAAAAATTTGTGAGGGAATACAAAATACTGTGAGAGAATACAAATTGCTCTTCCAAGTCCAAATTGTCTTACCGTATACATCAAGGATTTTAGGCTGGTCTACAGCAGTTTTTCTAACCAGTGATTTGGAGGGTTATAACATAAAGCAGAAAAACCTAGAGCAATATCAGCATGGCCAGTTTTTGGTAAACAAGCTTTCTTTGTGCAATGATGACTTCAGATGCTTACACAGGCATCGGGTTGTTAGTAAGCTATGTATTTTGTAAACATATTTAGTTACTGTTTGTCAAGCACTAGTCATTCAAGTCATTCTTGAAAGACTAAACAGCATTAAAAAAATAGTTTTCTAGTATCACAAACCCATTAAGTGAGCATATGTATAGGAACAAACACAAGTTTATTGAATTTAAATTAGTAAAATCCAAACTTGGCTTGACAACGTTAATAAAATACTTTAACCTGTAGACAACAGTTGTTTGTCACTGTCATTATTTCAGCAACCTGCAATATTTAGCAGTTATACAAGTGCTGAATTCCTCTGGCGTATTCCAATCCATCCTTTCTTCAGTGACTCAGGATTTTGGAGACTGAGCATGCCTAGCAAATAACCTGTGTGTGGCAGAGCTGCTGTGGGCTTGCCTGTGTCACCAGCAGAACCCCATGAGGGCACCATGCTGAGCATGGGCTTGGCTGAAGGCATCATCTCAGCGACTTTGTCCAAGTCTACTGTGGTCATCACATTACTAGCTTCATTTCTGTTCTTTTCTGAAGCTTCCCCGTAATTGTGACTCTTTCCTGAATCTGAGTGAATCACATTAATGATCATTTCCATGTTTAGATAGAAGTGTGAATATACTGGAGGTAACTTTCAGTGTCTTACTTTTGGATCTAGTATTTACTACTTAACTTAATTGATGTTGGACTTAAGACCTTCAGCTTGTGCAACCTGGCAAGATGTTACTTTTGTTATGTCTCATACAACACTTGTGGGGAAAGATAAAAGAAGCTCATCTATGTATTTCATGATCATGTCACACCAAGATTGGTAGTGATCTAAAAGCCTATTCATATGAGGCAACAAGGAATAAGGTTGGATTTTGATCCCTTCTCTTCACTGGTGCCTTGTGGTATTGATAATAAAAATTTTATCAGAGAGAACTTTCTTACTTTCAGAATTAAACAAACAAAAACAGGTTTTACAATCTAGTTTATAGATACAGAGATCATTAGTGCTGTAATAAAGTTTTCTGAAGAGAGAGCAGTGAATATCTCTCTGATGTGCTGAGGATGGTGGGGTAGCGAGTTAATGAAATTGAGCTTGAAGGGAAGAGTAGAACCTGGCTCTCTCCCATTTCTGCCCCAGCACCCACCCTGCTCAGGAGAGCTGTGTCTGGGTACAAAGAAAAAAGATGATGCCCACTCCTCTTTGCCAGCTGCCTGGTTCTGTGTCCAGGGGTAGTCGAGGGAATGGAGATGTTTGCTGTGTATGAAAGGCTCGGGGTGAGACTGCCCTGATGGAGGCATCCTCCCTGGGCTTGTCCATTGGCTACAACAGCTATGGCTGCATTTGTGTTTCGAGGTTCTGTGGGTCACATCAGTCAGCATATTTCCAGTTTCTTCACGTACTTGAGATAAAAATTGTTACAGTTACAGTGGGCAACCCCTGCAATTTAACGAAGCAGCAGTGCTGCCTTCCATTAAACTGTTTGTCCCAAATGTTCTGTTCTTCTTGCTTTAAAAAGGCTACATATTTGGATGTTTACTCTAACTTACACTGTACAGTCTCACCCAGGAACTTTCATAATAAAAGTGTGAGAAGCGAATGTGAGGAGAGTTAAAAATACCTTCTTATCAAAACAAGCTATACATGTTTGAAATAAAATTAAGGGCTCCTTATGACATGATACAGCTGCTGTCAGGTCACTATTAATAATGAGAGCAACCTGGTTCGATATAAGCTTTGACCTTTTCCTTGCTTGAAATTTCTCTACAAAATAAAAACTCAGACATTTATTATTGAAAAATGCTGATAGTCATGAAGACAGAGTACAGTTCGAACCAGCAGTTTTCAGCATGAAAGTATAATGAAATGTGTTCTTCCATGTTAATGTCCTAACAAATTGGGTTAGCAAAACTTATTTTGTTCAATCAGCTTGAAGTTGAGGGGCAGAGCTCAAATGAACAGTTTTTGAAGGATCTGTTTGCATAATTTCCCATGTTGAAATGCTATATTTTTTACAATTTAATATATCCTAACACTTTGGAGCTTTGTGTACTGTTTCATAGATTTGTAGAAGGGGAAGAAAAAAGGAGGGCTGTATATACATTGTACATCTTAATTTTTTTAAGAGAAAAGCATGCATGATATTACATTAGTCAAGTTGAAGAAGAAGGAGGGAGGCTTAGAGGTGAGATCTTTATCCCCCTGCTTTGCCATCTCCTGTTGGCTTTCTGCATTTGAGCTGTGGTTTGCTTGGGGTGGGAATGTCTCTCAGCAGGGTTCAGCCCTGTGTCCTTGAACTGCTGAAGGGAGGTATCCACAGCCATGCAGCCATGTGTTCTGCTCTTTCAAAGAGTGCTTCAGAAACCTCCAGGTAATGGAATTGATGGGTTTTCCCTGCTGCCATTACCTATGAAAGGGAGCTATGGGCAATAGCTGCTCTAGACCTGTGAGGCTGTGTGCAATGATATCCTGACAGCACTGCAGGAAAAAAGGAGTATTTTTCCACCTAATTAGTGATGCTTGCCTAGTGATGCTTGGCAGAGGTTGATGCAGCGGTCTTTTTCTTTTCTTTTTTTTTTATTTTGCTCCTGTGTTACAGATATACGCGGACTGCAGGGATTTCTGGATCAGGCCTCCAGGCTGGGACTTGATGTGTCATTACAAAAAGTGGACAGGAACATCAGCAGAGTCTTTGCCAACCTTTTCACTACAATGAAAACAGAAGAGCTGAACCGCTATCGGGACACATTACGAAGGGCTATCTTACTGCTAAGCCCACGGGGAGCCCAGACTTTTATTAATGAGGTCAGTGAACAATTATTTTTATCAACATTTCAAGAATGTATATGATGACTTATGTGATACCTAGCTGGGTTTTTGGAAGTGGTAGATTTTGACAGGAACGGTTGGTAAGCATTGAATGTTCTTTGTCAGATCAGTTTCAGAGTGTAAAAATGTAATGTACTTCATTTAATGCAAACTTTGCAGAAAATGCAAATGGGGTGGTGGTGGCCAGATGGGCACTTTCAATATAAAACACAGTTCAGTGGGGAAATTACTCTTTTTTTTTGGTTGTCTTTCATACCAGTACTTGGATTTCAACACTGTCTGAAGTGACTTGAAAATCTACTGTGGTATATTAGAAATGAAACATAACATGTTTGGGAGTATAATCTCTGGAAATCTCCAGACTTGTTGTAAAAGTGTGCATTACTGATGTTTGGCATCTGAATCACAGTGTTTTATCAAGTACAAAATAGGAATTGTATATTTGCCTTTTTCTTGATGATTTCTTGGAGTCATTAATGCTCATTAGGACAGGGTTGTGGCTGTTGGGCAAACTCATAATTAATGTTGTGCTAAGGGCTAATTTTTGGCACTAATTAGTTTTATCCAGTCTTTAAAATATTAAATAATGGATTATTTTGCAGAGCTTTTTATATGTCAGATTTGAGAATATGAGTTGGATCCTCAGCCTAACTTTTACGTATGTTCATTAGTGAAGAACTGGGCTTTTTTTTTTTTTTTTAGCCAACCAGGGATAAGGCTGAACCAAGAAATTAAAATATAGATGTGACCTATTTCTAATTATTACTTCTGCCACATCATAGTCTGCTAAACTTAAAAAGTAATGAATTTTTTTTAAAAAATCAAGTTAGCTCATTAGGGCTTTTTTTTTTTTTTTTTTTTTTTTTTTTTTTTTTTTTTTTTTAAGATAGCAGCATAAGTAAATCCTCCATATTTATGTTCAATTGTAATTTTAAAACTAATAGAGTTAATTTTATCGTATATAGACATGGCAAAGGAGTAGCTTCAGCAGGACTAAGCACAGGGACAGATTTCAGATGTGTTTGTGCATGCAGAAGGATTTTCAGTCAGGGAACAAGGGAGTTCATGTCTTAGATGCAGAGTTAGCTTGCACAGCTCAGTCAGCAGTGTTATGTGCTTCACAGTAGACCTCCAGCAAAGATAGGTGAAATTGGTTTCCCAGGGGATCCTCACAAAATTTCCAAGCCAGGTATTGAAAAGAAATTGTCATGTGTGTTTTATTATGATGTGCACCAGCAAGAGGGTCTGTTGCCTTTCAGTGTCCCAGACTGGTGCAAATGTTATCAGGAAGCAAGCCTGGCCAGGACTCTGCAAGTCTCCAGAGTGTAGGGGCTAATGTATTAAACTGTTTTACTACTCACCTCACCTTAAAGCAGTGTCTATTATAGGCATTAAGGCTAATGATCTTGATATATTTCCAGATCCCTACAGGAGTTCAACTGTAGGTAGAAATGAGAAGTAATTTATTTGGCAATCTTCCTATATTGAATCTTGATTGATTCAGAAAAGCTTTATAAAAGAAAATGTAAATCTTTGACAGGAGCTCTCAAAAGACGTAGGGAAGAATCCCTCACTACTGGCGGCTGGACATAGGCAGTAACAGCTGCTGATTATATGTCTCTGATGGAGCCAGGGTTGGCCTGATGGACCCAGAGGGTCCTGCCAGCCTCAGCTGCTTTGTGATCCCATGTACAATTTCTGGCAACATAAATTCTGTACGTAGCAGAGATTCCTTATTGAGATTAGTTGATATTTAGTTGAGGAAAAGTCTCTCTGAAAAACTTCAGCCAGTTTTGTTTAAAATCTGTTGGTTAAATGATAAATCTTGATTTTTATTTTCTTTTTCAAGTGTTTCATACAGACCCTCTTGTGGAATGCATAATAAAAATAAGAGACATTCTCAGACTGTCTGGATTATGAACCCTGACATGAATGATTGTAACAATTTTTTCTAAGCAAAAGTCATCCCCATCAGTCATTTGAAGCAGGCACAAGATTTATTTTGCTTGTTTGATACTGAAAGTGATACATTTTTCCCTCTAAAAATATGGATCCATGTTTTAGTCCTGCTTATCATCTCTTGGGTGGGCAAGAGAGATCCCATCTAATTTCATATGAGTTAGGGGACTCTGAAATCTCGTATATGAAAGCCTTTCGAAAGCACAGAAGAACTCAATTTTAGGATTTTTTCTCTCTTGGTTTTCATTTAAACATTGTTTTTATTTTTCTGGCTTTGTATTCTCAGTGCCAGATTCTGTGATGTGTCAGCCTTACTGCAGCAGAGATTACTGACAATTTCATAGGTTTTAAATGTTGGTTATTAAGCTACTGAATTGCTGAGAGTCTGAGAAGGGAGGAAGAGAGGAAAAAAAACCAAAAACTTGCTTCTGGCTCCACCTGCAGGAGTCCTTCGTGTGCTTGGCCTGGTGCCACTGTTCAGTTTGCATGCAAAACCATTCTCACCTACAAGTGAGCATGTAAGAGCAGTGGTGAATTATTATTTTTTTGAAGACTAGACTATGTGATTTCCTCACAAGGAAATACATGGAAAGAAAAGAGGAAAATTCAGTGAGAGATGGAGGGGGGAACACATGGCTGTTACTGTCTTTGGCCCCTATGCCAGGATGTGAGGTTCAGAAGGCTCCCTTCTGTAAGAACAGCCTATAGAGGCAGCTGGGTACTGCCTTGACTCTTCCACTTGCCAATGGATATGTTTTTTTGGTTTTAACTAGAAGTACATTGTAGGGATTGCTTTTATCATTAAGAGCTCTGCAGTATATGGAGACATGAAAACAGTTCAAAGATTGGTGTCAAGAATGATAAAAGGATAGGAGAGCATGACCTGTGAAGACAGGTCTCAGGAGCACAGTATATACTGCCTGCCTACGGGAGTATAACTGACATATTTGAGAAGAAACATGAGAGGAGGAGGAGGAGGAATTATTTGAGGTGATGATGGGTAGTCTAACAGGAAGTTATGACCTGAAGCTAAACAAGGCAAGTTTTCTCCCAGGGAGGTCAATTAGACATAGTGAGTGGTTGGCAAGAGGTCAGCAAGGCATTGTCCTTCAGGGCATTCCAGAGCACGCTAAATAAAACGGTTGGATAGCTTAGTGCTGCCATCTTCCTGAACACGTTTGAAGGGATGTGCTAGATGACCCAGGGGTCCTCCTGAAGACCTATCAAAAAACATTTGTTGTGTGAATAAATTTAGATTTCGCACATTTTTTACACAGTGTATTTGAAGAGGAGAAAGAGATCTTTAAGTTAGGGTTTCTTAAGTTTTCTATTGCAGATCTGCAGTAACAATTGCTGAGGCTTCTTTTTTTCTTCTTCACAGAACTCGTGGTTTGTTTGGGATGGATATTTTGATGAGTTTTTTTTTTTAAAACCATAGGTGACCATCAGTTTCTTTATAGATTTCAGTCATCCTACTTCCCAGTGTTATCACTTGTACTTTTGTAAACCAGTAAAGCAGAAACTGTAACAGTTGCATGTGGTTATTGATTTGAAAAAAGAAGGAATTCTTGGCTTTATAAAACCTTTAACTCAGCATGACTTGTTTTTTTTTGGCAGCTTCAGTGAAGTGCAAAACATTTCTGTTTAGATAGGTCTTTGAGAATGATATTATTACTTGTAAGACTGTCCTGCCTGTAAGCTAGTAAGCTTACTGCAGTAAGGTGCCCACTATGTATGCGTATCACTGCAGCATGCCAGCTGGAAGCAGAGCAGTTTGCATGTCATATGCATAGTACTGCAAGCAAGTCAAAAGCAAAAATAAAAAATGTGTAATAGAGAGCAGATTAATTGCATTAAAAATTAATGCTAAAACTCTGAATTGTTGAGGCAGGATAATCTGAATCACTGCAATCCCAACAGCAGCTGAAGATTTCCACTTCCAGAGTGTTACAAATTTTGTTAAGAGTTGTCATTTATCTCTGCCCTGTTTATGTAGTCACCTCTGCATACTCAATGGAAAGTAATGATTACTCTTTTTCTCTCGCTCATATCCCGTGTGTGACTGGTTCTTTAAAGGTAAAAGGAAAAAAAAAAAAAGAAGAAAATGAAAAAAAAGAGATTCTGCTTTTTGCTTATGTGCTATTTCACAGTGATCTGTGGCCTTCCTTCATTTCTGGTCATCAGAGTTGCTGAGTGCCTTGTTCCTGGAGTACACCCAGTTGGCACTTGTTTGTGACCGGTGCTTCAGACTTCTCTCCCTTCTTCAGTTACTGACATGCAATTACTTGATAGGAGCTGCAGGAAATATTTGTAGCATCTTGAACACTGCACCCACAAGTAAATGTGTGAATTTTTTTTGTAAGAAACAAAGTCTTTTATTTCTCAGAATTAAGCAGGAAAAAAATAGTTTAATACTGATTTTCTTGGTAGTTCATATTGGCATATATGTCTTTTCTATTTACATTGCAAAAAGTACAGTGTATTAGTCTGTATTTCTGTTTTATATACACTATATAAACATCTTGAAATACAGGTGAATAACTTCAGGGAAAAATATTATGCCTCTTCTGTTTCTAGAAGGTAATTCCTTTGTTTAAAGAGCTGGTGATGATTTGTGAGTGCTGGTAACAGAAGTTAGAAATAATAGCTGTACAGTAGTAGAATACTTCAAGATAAATTACACCTGCCTGATTTTTAGCAAATCCCCATCTGATTTTCTGTTTCTTCCTCAGGGCTGTAATCATGTGTGCTGTTGTTGACAGCTGCAATACAGTAAGACTCTTTGTGGTTAAAGAGAGTATTAGTTATAATTAAAACCCAAACAAACCTCATTAAACTGCCACAACCTGACTGAAAACAAAGCTTCCCATTTTGGGATAATTTGACTTAGAAGCAGACTTATTTGGGACTAACAACAAGAAAACAAACAACAACAACAACAACAAAAACCTAAATAAACAAAAAACACCCCAGTAAACAAAAAATATAACAGTGAATGATCCAAAATATGGGATCAC